AATATACATTTAAAACTTAAACTTATAATTGGTATATTCATGCTGTACTATATTGAGACAGAGAATGGATATCACGTTCTGAAGAAAGAGAGAAAGAAAGAACCATATTTTATTGACTAATTAGATTTCGTTCTGTTTTTTTTATTAGCTTTATGTTTAATATAGTCACTTCAGTTTGGGTCTTACGACAGCTCTCTTAAACGTTGTCATATTAACCTTTTGACCAAACCTGATAAAAACCGCGTCACAAAATGCCAGCGCTGGCAAGGGTAGAAATTTGAATGGTTAAAGCAGATAAGACGCCAATTGAGTTAATAGGTTAATTTGGCGAACGTTCACGAGGGCTGTCGTTAGACCCTCACTGATGTGGCGATATAAAAAATTGAACCAAATGTAAAAACGGAACAAGAGTTTGGTTTTGACTGGGATCGGTAGGATATTGCTTCTTAGCTAGTTAGGTTTTAAAATTCTTCTCGAGAAGCAACTGTTCCGTGGCCACGCTTGTTGTTTTTCGAGGCTACTGTCTATTGGTTCACGAGGTTTGTCTATCAGCTATCCGTAGCCAAACCCCTCAAGGACCCTATTAACCTAAGGTCTAAGGATTTCAAATTCATATAAACTAATGTTAGTTAGTTAGTTGTAATTTCATCACCATTTTTTTTCAACGAGAAAACATAAAGTTAATAAAATGAGACAAAGAGTGTCGTTAAATGATACTATTACCACACGTACATATACATATATTATCACGACGAGACGTTCTTTAGTTAAGAGTATCTGTTTCAATATTTCCTGCTGTGTGTAGTACAATAGAGTAATTTAAAGACACTCCGAGACAATAAAGACGACCACCACCCTTATTTTGATGTGAACTTTGAGAAAATGAACAATCAGCCCCTTATTTGTGCCAGGTGATCAAGCGCTCTAAATGCTCAAAGATCACTTCAGGCCATCTGAAAACCGTTTGCTTCTGGGTCCCCCTGGCTTCGAAATGTTTAACGCTGGAGTCCTCTTTCGGCACTGCTCCGCTGTTTCTGGGTTAAGTTATCACATCCCTTCCATAATTTCAAATACCACACCAAATAGTTCAATGTGTCCATTATGGCACAATGATTAAAACATGTTAAAATATTTAATAAAAATGAACAAATGAATGCAAAAGAACATTGCTAGTTATTATACTGGCTATTCACACATCTTTACCGTTTATTCATTATGCTTTGTTTCGTGTTTAGTTATCCAGATAGGCTTATCATTTTTGAAAATAATTTTCCCAAGCCTGTGGATGCAATCTTTGAATCTGTACACAGTCATACCCACGACTTGTATACAGAATGAGAATCCGTACAACACAGCACTCATAACAGCATAACCGTTCATGGAGTAGTCTTGAATTGCAGACGAGTAGAAAAAGCCAATTCCTATCACCCACAATACATTGGACACCAATATACCAATCAGAGCTTTCATTCTCAACCAATTTAACCCCGACTCTAGATCATCTTTCTGTAATCCCAGATTAACTTCTTTACCGATCAGCCTTCGAACTAAATCAGACCAGAACGATTCCTCATCGTCTGTCATTCCCTTCAACTGTTCTGACGTCATTTCCGTCTCTAAGTCCAGTGTTTCTGAAAATATAAAGAAACGAATTTATAACGCGATGTCTAATTTTTACGCAGAAAGAATTACGAGTGTAATTTGATAAGGTTCATTCCTTGTGAACACTTCTTCATGCAAACTTCTAATTTTTCTGTCTCTTTAGAACTTCATTAGGAGGGGGAGTAAAACATTGTTTAAATATTCAATAAATCCCTATGAAGTTTTTTTTTTGTCTTTTAGTATGTTTAAATGACATAATTCCAAAACGTGCATTTCTAAATTCTTATTAGAATTAGACATCTCATTACCATATTTGAATTAGACCAGGGGTTTTCAAACTGGGGGTAATTTTTGCGGGTAATGAGGCGTTTTGTAGTATAGCATCAGACTTTATTTTCCGACATAAAAAGACGACAGGGAAACCCTAATAGAAAATCATGAACAGTAAGGATTTACAAAGGCTGAAAACCATGCAAAAGACCAATCATACCAGTGCTAGGACTCGGTTTCATTCCACTTTTCTTCTTCTTCTTTCGACGGAATGTGGGGAAACATAAAAATTTGGGTATTTTCGCTTTTTGCTAAAATAGAAATTATGTACTTAAGTTATCACCCCATGAATTAATGATAATCTGCATAACCATTACAATATATATTCACTGTTAAAATAGTGCTGAATACATCAATTATAGAGCGATATAGAAATATCACTGTTATAATAGTGCTGAATACATCAATTATAGAGCGATATAGAAATATCACTGTTAAAATAGTGCTGAATACATCAATTATAGAGCGATATAGAAATATCACTGTTAAAATAGTGCTGAATACATCAATTATAGAGCGATATAGAAATACCACTGTTATAATAGTGCTGAATACATCAATTATAGAGCGATATAGAAATATCACTGTTAAAATAGTGTTCAATACATCAATTATAGAGCGATATAGAAATATCACTGTTAAAATAGTGTACAATACATCAATTATAGAGCGATATACAAATACCACTGTTAAAATAGTGTTCAATACATCAATTGTAGAGTGATATAGAAATACCACTGTTAAAATAGTGTTCAATACATCAATTGTAGAGTGATATAGAAATACCACTGTTATAATAGTGCTCAATACATCAATTATAGAGCGATATAGAAATATCACTGTTATAATAGTGTTCAATACATCAATTATAGAGCGATATAGAAATACCACTGTTAAAATAGTGTTCAATACATCAATTGTAGAGTGATATAGAAATACCACTGTTATAATAGTGCTCAATACATCAATTGTAGAGCGATATAGAAATACCACTGTTAAAATAGTGCTCCATACATCAATTGTAGAGTGATATAGAAATACCACTGTTATAATAGTGCTGAATACGTCAGTTGTAGAGCTATATAGAAATACTACTGTTATAATAGTGCTTAATACATCAATTGTAGAGCTATATAGAAATATCTCTGTTAAAATAGTGCCCAATACATCAAGTGTAGAGCGATATAGAAATACCAATGTTAAAATAGTGCCCAATACATCAATTGTAGAGTGATATAGAAATACCACTGTTAAAATAGTGTCCCAATTACATCAATTATAGAGCGATATAGAAATACCACTGTTATAATGGTGCTGAATACATCAATTGTAAAGTGATATAGATATACCACTGTTAAAATAGTGTTCAATACATCAATTGTAGAGTGATATAGAAATACCACTGTTATAATAGTGCTCAATACATCAATTGTAGATTGATATAGAAATACCACTGTTATAATAGTGCTCAATACATCAATTGTAGAGTGATATAGAAATACCAATGTTATAATAGTGCTCAATACATCAATTGTAGAGTGATATAGAACACTACTGTTATAATAGTGCTCAGTACATCAATTGTAGAGTGATATAGAAATACCACTGTTATAATAGTGCTCAATACATCAATTGTAGAGTGATATAGAAATACCACTGTTATAATAGTGCTCAGTACATCAATTGTAGAGTGATATAGAAATACTACTGTTATAATAGTGCTCAATACATCAATTTTAGAGTGATATAGAAGTACCACTGTTATAATAGTGCTGAATACATCAATTGTAGAGTGATATAGAAATACCACTGTTATAATAGTGCTCAATACATCAATTGTAGAGTGATATAGAAATACCACTGTTATAATAGTGCTCAATACATCAATTGTAGAGTGATATAGAAATACCAATGTTATAATAGTGCTCAATACATCAATTGTAGAGTGATATAGAAACACCACTGTTATAATAGTGCTCAATACATCAATTTTAGAGTGATATAGAAGTACCACTGTTATAATAGTGCTGAATACATCAATTGTAGAGTGATATAGAAATACCACTGTTATAATAGTGCTCAATACATCAATTGTAGAGTGATATAGAAATACCACTGTTATAATAGTGCTCAGTACATCAATTGTAGAGTGATATAGAAATACTACTGTTATAATAGTGCTCAATACATCAATTTTAGAGTGATATAGAAGTACCACTGTTATAATAGTGCTCAATACATCAATTGTAGAGCGATATAGAAATACCACTGTTAAAATAGTGCTCCATACATCAATTGTAGAGTGATATAGAAATACCACTGTTATAATAGTGCTGAATACATCAATTGTAGAGTGATATAGAAATACCACTGTTATAATAGTGCGCAATACATCAATTGTAGAGTGATATAGAAATACCACTGTTATAATAGTGCGCAATACATCAATTGTAGAGTGATATAGAAACACCACTGTTATAATAGTGCTCAATACATCAATTGTAGAGTGATATAGAAACACCACTGTTAAAATAGTACCCAATACATCAATTGTAGAGCAATATAGAAATACCAATGTTATAATAGTGCTCAATACATCAATTGTAGAGCAATATAGAAATACCATTGTTAAAATAGTTCTCAATACATCAATTGTAAAGTGATATAGAAATACCACTGTTAAAATAGTGCCCAATGCAGTAATTGTAGAGCGATATAGTAATATCGTTATTTAAATAATGTCCAATTCATTAATTGTAGAGTGATATAGTAATATCACTGTTTAAATAATGTCCAATTCATTAATAATAGAGCGATATAGTAATATCTCGGTTTAAATACTGTTCAATTCATTAATTGTAGAGCGATATTGTCATATCGTTATTTAAATTATGTTCATTTTATTAATTGTAGAGCGATATAGCAAAAATGAAGCTATGTTGTAGAAATTAGGCATCTTCATGCATAAATAAATTACAACGGTCTCTTGATGAAGCTATATTCTCAACCTTGGGCAGGAGGAAGGTCTTCTCGTTCAAGATGAATTCTATTCCATAAGGAAACTAATACTAAATAAATAAAAATATACTTACATTTTCTCGGGTTCCCCAAGTTTGATCGACTATGTTACTTAAAGCATAAACCGGAAGTAGTATGTGCATGGTGGGAAAAAAGAAGACATAGAAGATACCATGGACTAAAAGGTAACATTCACTTGGATGCAAAATGGCGGCATAGAATATACTTGCGGTCAGGGCGATCAAAATAAAATGTTCTTGAAGTTGCAAGTTGTTTTCTTGAATATCTACAAAGAAATACAGTTGGATTCATTGGCTTGAATAAACAGCCTTGCCAGGGCAACAAAAGCGATTTGTGAGTGTCAAATTAATATACGAAAAATTTGTATAACAACAGGTTTCAAGGCTTGGATTTCAAAGAGTTTACTTCCGGAAGAAAAACATGATCGAGCAATCAAGTAAGACATCCTTCTACTGATCAAATGTTATTGTTTTTGAAGTCAATTTTAGAAATATTGGTTAAAAAACTCACCTGTAATAATATCATGAACGACGAACACAGCCGCACCTACAACCACACATATCATGGATAATCCCAGTATCAACATAAACACTTTAGTTAGAGTTATCTGACTTTGGGAAGACAGCTGTACACACAGGACACCATACAGGACAAACAGCGCTACCACCATAGGAGTAATTATTACAAAGGGAACTTTTATCAGCACGTCCAGCCCCACAGTCAACATAATAATTGTTGATCCTGGTGATAGAAACACGATAAAGAACAACTGTAATAGATAGAAGACGTATATCATTGAGAAGCAACCATTGCTTCGGATCAACTGTGGCAAGTTCTTAAACACCATAAGAGAGTTGGCGAAATCTGATAGAATCCATCGTCGTCGTTGTTTGATGAATTCGGTGATGGTGTCAGGGCAGAATGTACTGTTCACACCGAATGTAGAGTATTTCAGCTTCCATCCTCTTAACATCATCAAAGTACACATCCATCGGTCTTCACCTACAAATCAGAATGATTACAAATTATATATGTATACATTCATATAAAATTTAAGTAATTGAAATATATTTCATTATGTAATTTAAACAGTTTTTCAATCAAATATATTTATCTATGTACTCATTAAAATTTGATGCCTTTATATTGTTTTACAATATTAGGTATATTATTATGTATATATTGATATCATGCTTTCACATGTATATTCTAATGCAATAAATTATTCATTCATTCATTCACAAAGGTAAAAACAAGTTTGTTTTTGTGTGTTCACGCAACCACCTTATGAACACTGTGCCTACGAATCACTATGTAAATAGTAGAATAGAAAGTATTTCCTGTTCGGGATTGTAAATAACGTAAAGGCAGAAGAGGCAGCGGAGTTTTATGAAAACGCCAAATACACCTTCGGATATTTTTTACAATTTAAGATTTTTGACTAACTTATTCTTTGGGACCTTCTGTCTCCTCCATAGTTTAAAACTAATTTACAATTTTGTCAGTACTGGGACCGAAATTTCATTTTTAAAATAATAAAATTAGTTCACCAGTGTCCTTAAATCAGAATAATCACAAAGACAGATTGTCCGCTTGTACTGTGTAATGAGTGTACAGCAAAGTATTTCCCGTTTCTGAGAATGAAATTTCATTATCATTTTATGAAATAATGAAAACAGCTCACCAGTGTCTTTAGTAAAAACATCACCAGCTTCTAAAGTAGGTTCAGAATACAGACTCATCACTCCTGCTAGAGCTTTAACACGATACAGACTGAAGCATCCTGGACAACACATCACTGATCCAATTATATTCTGAGCGCTTTTAATCATCCAAAAATCTGGAAGAGAAGAAGATCATATTCAATTACTGTCAGTCTGGACTGTAGTGCTTTCTACTCAAGCATTCAGTTATCAGGCGGATTATATAGTACACAGTATTATGTAATCATTCCCCTTTTGTGTGGATTATTGATAAAAGATTCTTTGGAAACTGAAACATTTCATTTCTCCTTTCGTTTTCATAATATTAAACAGTATTTCCTCTTGAAAAGAGGCATATTTATCAGATGGTGACCTCATTGACCTCCAGTTTTGAACCTGGAGCGCTTGAAGATTTATTAATTTTCTCGTTTTGGTACTTACCTTTTGCGTACTCGAACTTCTGGAACCATACAATTGGGTTGATCTTTTTACCCATTGGGAATGTTCTTCCACATGCAGCTCCCAGTCGCAAGTCTTCGTTACATGTATCTACCAGATCCATAACACTGTTGTCACCAAAGTGCATGTCGGCATCAGTTGCAAGGATGTAGGTACGGTCATCGTATTCAGGCACCATTGTTATATCCATATAGAAGGATTCCTCAAAGGAGTACATGCTAGTGTCAGGCTGGTACTCGGGGGTTTCCATTGGTGGTACGTGGATCACTGGTATGGGTTTTGCAGTCGTGGATCCAGTCATAAATTCAGTCATCCATGCTGAGTGGATCAGTTCGTGTTCTGCTGGAATGTAGGCAGGATTTACTTTCTTTTCGTCGAAGGATTTCTGAGAGATATTATCAGCACTGTCAATATGTTTCGACGAAGGATCAATCGAGCTGGCATCATCAGACTTGAGTTTGTCCTTGACCTCCGACGAAATCGATGATACGTCGTCTCCAGTGTCGATTCCTTGATCAGAACTCAAATGAGATCCGCATTTACTGTGAATCGACCGTTTCTCCAGCTCATCAACAGGTATGTCAAGACCTTTGAATCTCATTATAAGCTCATTTTCCCGAGAAACTTGTGTGATAAAACTAAGTTTATCATGGTCTGAGATACGGAACATGTCAAAACTGGAGCGTCTTTCCAGAGCGTCTGCAATCTTGATTCTGTGGTTGATGATATATTCAAAATACATGACTTGACTCCATCGTTTTTTAGCTTTGACGACTGCTGTATCCTTCAGATGAAGAAACAGCGGCATCCCTCCTGGAAGGATACTGGATATTTGGATACCATAGGGAGTTGCATATATTCTTCCATCTGATCGTTTAACGTCTAAAGTGGATTCCACAAGAGCCAAAAGCTGCAAAGCGAACTCATTGAGAGTGTACCCATCAGCGCCATTATCCAGAAAAATGTGACTTTCCAGATACACCCGAGCCAGTTTCAATTTGGTAGATTTTGAAATTTTTGCCAGACTCTGCAACAGCTGTTCCATTTCGTAATCTGCTTCTCGATACATGGTAGTACAGAGGAAAACTCTGCTTCTCTTGAATTGGCTAGACAGTCTATGCTCTATCGGCGTCTTTGGACTGTAGTTCAGATAAAGATGCTGGTCAAAAAAGACACTGCAGTAATTAAAGGTAACGAAATTTTTTTGTTCAGGTTTAAATAAAACGTCTGAAGGCATAAAATACTTCTTTTTAAGTATCAATACCGGAAGCGCCCATAATAGAGTAACAAATCCGAGAACCACGAAGCCGCCTTGATCTATGAAGCACTTAGCCTCCTGGATGGTCCATATGTGTAATTCTCCATCGAGACAGTTAAAGATAAAAACTACAGAAGAGAGCACAGTGGACAGTAAGATTGGAATCATTATTCCGGATCGAGTGGTGGTATAGAAAGCTGAAATCCTGCTTAAGGCATAAGCTACAAACGATGTCACACAATGTATAACAACACACGTAGTTAGAGCGCCTGATTCATGGAAAGTCAGAAGTCCGCGATGAAGAAATTCCGGAGCTTCGTTGATTGGTACTTTTGATCCCATTGGAACGATGAGAATGGTGAAGGCAATGATGCTGATGATTCTCATTATAGTCTGGATAAAGCTGGTGTTGTTGCGAGAAGTTTCGTTAGGACATTGTTTGTGGAATGCAAATGATTTGATGGGTTGACACCAGACAACTGACAGAGCTGTCATGCTGGCTAGCAGGGATATGGCTTCCGGTATCTCTGTAATTTCCAGAATCACCAACAGGCAAGCAGTTAACACGAAGATACAGACACCAAACGTTGTAGCAATGCTGTGTAGAGTTCGTTTGATCCAACCTGGGTCGCTAGCCAGAGCGTGAGACGCTAGGAATGATTTTTTCTGAAATGAGAAAATAAAATTCACTTTACACTTTTCAATCCATTCTTTTTATTATACTCTCTCAGTTCTCAATTCTTGATATAATTTTTGTAAAGTGCTATTCGTTACAGGAAATATTCTAGTAAATGAATTTTGATTGCTAGTGAACATGAAATAGAAAGATGATAATATTTTACGGTACCTGGATGATTTTAATGCAAATTTACCTTATTTATTTATTTTACCAATATGGACGTTTTTCAGAAGTCATTTAACCTATGACCTACAATGGTCTCTATGAATTATGATTATGTTATGCGACAAATGCCAGACATTACCTTTACAACCTTATTTATGTTCTATTTTCGGTTTTAATTCATTTCATGTTTATTTATATCTATACCTTGTGGGACCTTAAAACTTGTATCAAAATCTGTTAATGTTACCCCAGTCTGTGTGAAACTACTGAATTCAGTTTATTTATCACAATGGCTACTTTTCGTATATTTATTGTTTACTATGGAAATAATTGACGCCGGTAAAAAGTTTACTTAATTCCATTAGTGATCTCGTTTTGTAAATACTCTTAAGTAAAGCAGTGAATTGTGAAATATATTTCACTTTGTGACATTAAAATAACGTATTGGCTAACCTTGTGTATTGGTCAAATTTACACCAATTGATACGGTACAAGATCTTATATTGATAACTTACTTTTTTTCGTGATTATGCTCAAAAAAGCCTTTATACATTTGACGTATATGGATGCTTGACGCATTACAACTTTAATGTTACCTCTTAGAGTAGTGAATGTTATAATAGTGAATAAGCAACTAAGACAATGTAAATATAATGAAAAATACATACTGAAACTAAAACACATTCCCAAATACCACCAGGCAAATCAACCAATAAGCATGCAGGTTTTATCTGGGTAAAATGTACACAGTAAATGAAGTCAAAAAAATACAAACCTTTCTAATAAAATAGGACGTAAAACTCCATTAATTTTGTTTTTATTTCTTACAAAGTTGTATACTTCATTTTTATTTTCAAGACAGGGGAACTATGATTGATACTCATAAAGCACATGACCTAACTGTTCTTAATGTTGGTTTCCCCCTGTCAGTGATGCAGGTACGAGGGGCTGACATGGAAAAAGCGTCTAGTCGTTCGGATGGGACAATAAACCGAGGCCCCGTATGCTACAGGCTGTGCACGTTAAAGTGATACTACGTCTTAGAATACACTCGCCCTGTGGCTAATATTTGTGTTTAATAGTGACCATTGGTTAAATAAGTATGCATCTCACACTTTATCAAGTTTGAAAAATCGACAATAAAACTATAATCATAATTTTTAAAAAAAAGTGAGCAAGCCATGAATCCGTTCAGTTTGAGAAAAAAAGAGTCTAGGTAATCAACGCTAAAACAGAAAACAATCATCTTCCGGTGTATACAAACAAACTTTGCCAATGATTAATATTCGTTGAAAAGTGTGTCAGTGGTGGAGTATTCATTCTAAATTATATGAATTGCGGAGTCGCTTAATCTCCTACGAGGCATTATTATTCCGTCTTCAAAATATGAAGATGTCCAGGTAAATTCAAGAGTAGAAGTCAAGGACGCGGGAAATTCCACCTGAGAGTTACTTCCCCTTGAAAATTACACCGGATTTCCTAGACTCACGATTTGACAATCGCATAATGGATGTAATTAGCGTTTTATAATTAATTACTTGATTTTGTGGATATATCGGATTATGGAGGGATTTCGATGTATAGTTAGGATACCAGGTGAGTCCACTGATGGATATATACTGTTATTGGCCAAATTTGAGCCAAATTACAATTTTATGTTCATCCTAAGACGTAGTATCCCTTTAAAGATCCCTCGACAGTTGGAAATCTTCATTAGCCCTCATGGTGCAGAAAAGTAGGACGTAAAACTCCATTCATTTCATTTGTTCTTAATGTTAGTCTTTAAATAGTATGAATGCTATTATACTCGACTTGATGAATGTTAATTCAGTAAAAGTAATGTAATATGTCCAATTTTGATTTAGCGTATTGATCTCTTTTGATAATAATCTTATCAGATAAGGATTCCAATATACACATACTAACTATAAAAGTTTCGTCATTTTAGATCGATTGTTCTCAAAGATTATGAGGCCAAAAGCTTAACAATAAATGTAGCCTACCAACCAAATAAAAACTCCACCGACATCTGACGAGTTTCTTATTTTTTGAAGGTTCAAACTTACTGTAAAATGTAGAGCTATCGTCTACCTTACCTGGAATAAGTCTACCGAAAAGTCATCCGCCAGGTGCATTCATCGCAGGCATATGATCACAGGCATTCGTGAAGATGTTAGTTTGAAGACAACATATATACAGCACACCGTTCAGATGAAATCATTAAAATTCAATGAATGATAAAGAAAGAAATTGATCAAGCATGAAATGACAATAATGACACAGTATGATCTCAAAGGAAACACAGTATTAACCAAAGTCAGTGAAAAACACTGCTAGATTGGAATAACCACCAAAAAGCGCCTTTCGTCAACGCGTCTCCAATCTTTTTAAGCGCTAAACAATTTTCTATAGATGTTTTTTTAGTTGACCGAGAATTGGTGGTGTGGTCTACTTAGTAAAGGGCAGTAGCTAATGTTGACCAGAATAGTCACATAACTGTCCTCTTGCTTAAAATGAAACGGGAGCGGCTTTTCCTTGAGTTATTTCCATTGAAATCATATTTTGTTA